AGAAGACACAGCCATGGAATGGGCGCGGATTCCCGTCAGTGGTTCTCACTATAACGGACAGATGAGTGGAAAAAGCAAGAAGGAAAACAACCTTGCTTGGCACCATGCCCACACACACATCCCAGTGCAGTGGGGGAAAAAAGGCTGGGGGCACATCCCAGCCGTGGATCAGCTTTCTGGCCCAGGGAACGAGTAGATCTGGTAGATGCCTAAATACTGGTCACTCCCAGTGCAGAAAGCACCTTCCCATGAGCAGGAACCCGAGGCCCTGCTGCAGAGCTCCCTTGCTGCAAGCAGGTGGATGCTGACCACCAGCAAGCAGCACCTCCCCACCGCGCCCCAGGCACGGGCCCACCTTTCTTGAACTCCTCCAGCATGGCATCGAGCTTGGTGTCATTGAAGACAAAGTGCAGCGGGTGGTTGTAGAAGCGGGTGATGGTCTTGAGCGGCGTGCAGTCATCGGGGTCCACAAAAGCCAGGTCCTTAACGAAGAGCAAGTCCACGATGTTGGAGCGGTCGCCCTCGAAAACAGGGATGCGGGTGTAACCGCTCTCCATGATCTCGGACATAGTGTTGAAGTCGAGCACAGCCTCGGCGGCGATCATAAAGCAGTCTCGGAGGGGAGTCATCACGTCCTCCACAGTCTTGGTGCGCAGTTCCAGGGCTCCTTGGATAATGTTGAGCTCCTCCTTGACTAGATCGTTATAAGGGTCGGTGACCCGCAGCATCTCCAACAACTTCTCACGGTTATAGACCGTGCCGATCTCCTGGCCCAGGACACAGTCCAGCAACTTGCTGACAGGGTAGGAGGCCGGGAAGGTCATCATCATGAAAAACTTGGTGAGGAAGATGGTGTTGGCGCCCACGGCCAGGCCGTGCCGAGAGCAAATAGCCTGCGGCACGATCTCGCCGAAGATGACGATACCGATGGTGGAGACCACCACGGCCACCAGCCCAGAGCCGGCAATGTCGTCCAGCAGGATGGTAAGGGTGGTGTTGACCAGGACATTGCCCAGCAGGAGGGAGCACAGCAGGTAGTTGCCCTGACGCCGCACAGGCTCGATGCGCTTGGCGTAGTTCTTCTCTTTGTCCGTGCCACAGTTCTGCACGATGCGCAGTTCCATGGGGTCCAGGGCCATCAGGCCCAGGTTGAGGCCACTGAACATGCCCGAGAGGCACAGGAGGAGCGAGATGAAGATGACCTGCAGCCAGAAGGGCAGCAGGAACTTCTTCTCCTCGCCCACGATCATCTTGGTGTCCTCGCCGTCATGGTAGATCCAAGTGGTCTCACCCCAGGGCGGGGGTCCCGCCGGTCCCTCGGCGCCCGCCAGCCCTCCGGGAGCCCCGGGCCCCAGGGCGGCGGCGGCGGGGGCCGAGACGGAGGTGCACAGGTAGTAGGACTTGCTCTTCTCCGTTTTGCGCAGGGGCTTGATCTCGATCTCGATGATGCCCGAGGTGCGGCGGTTGAGCACGATGTGCGGCAGGATGATGATGTCCGAGGTGCGGATGCCGCAGCGCTGCGGGGCCCCGCCGCTGCCCGCCGACCCGCCGCCGCCCCCGCCACCGCCGCGCCCCGCCGGCCCCGCCGCCGCCCGCCCGCCCCGCCGCCGCTCGTGCTCCGTGAAGGCGATGCGCGACCACGTCTCGTTGTTGATGTTCTGCCCGTAAACCCGCAGCTTCACCCGCGTCCGCTCGCTCACCCGCAGCGCGCCCCCCTCCATGAAGGAGACGTCGTCCGTGTCCTCCAGCCGCAGGCCGATGATCACCGTCTCCTCCGCCGCCGGCGGGGGCACGACGGCGGCGGGCGGCGCGGCAGCGGTGGCGGCCGGGGGCCGCCGGCCCAGGCAGCCGCCGAGCAGCAGCAAGAGCAGCACCCGCGCCCCCCGGCCGCCCCCCGCCATGTTCCCACCGGGCAGCGCGGCCATCTTTAGTCAGGGCTCGGCGCCGCCGCGGCCCCGCATCACCGCGCAGCGCCTGCGGCGTGCCCCGGCTTCCCCGGCGGCGGCGGTGGGCGCGGCGGCGGCGGCGGGCGAGGCGCGGGCTCGGCTGCCCGCGGGACCCGACGGGCGGCGACTGCCGAGCCGGGCCGACCAGCGCCGCCTCTACCCGCGCCCGCCCCGCCCCGCCCCGCCCGCCGCTCGGGGGAGGGGCCTCCTCTCGGCGCCGCCAATCAGCGCCCGCCCGCTCCCCAATCTGCGCCAAGCCACGCCTCCTCCGCGCCCCGCCCCCTCCCAGCCCCGGGGGCGCGTGACTTCGGTGTGTACGCCGGGCGCGCGGGGGCGGGGCCGGCCGTGCGGCCGAGACCAATGGCGGCGGCGCTCGGTGCCGAAGGGGGCGGAGCCTTAGGAGGGGCGCGACCAATGGGGACGCGGTGCGGCCGGCGCGCGCTGCGGTAGGGACGAGCGGCCCCGGGAGCGCCCGCGCCGGGACACAGGGCAGCCGAACGGGCCCGGCCATCCCGCTTTCCCCCCGCTCCCGCCCGGCCCACGGCGACCGCCGCTCCCCTCGGACCCACCGCGCCGTTCGCCCCCTTCAGTGGCTCGGGAGCGCCGCCCCGCGTCCGCGCGCCGCACTGGTCGGCGGTCGCGCAGCGCCCCCTGGCGGTCCCGCCGCGCCCGTAGGCCTGGCCCGACGGGGCGCACCCCGGTGCCTCCCGCCGGAATCTGCTGCGGCGGAGGCCGCTCTCTCAGCCGTGCCCGTTCCCCAGTCAGCGCCGAGCCGCCGCCGGTGCAGTACCATGCGACGTTCAATAAATCGAACTGAGGCACCGTGGCCCCCGGGCACCCTCCGCCCCGACACTTCCTCGGTTGTGTCGTGCCTGAGGGCGGAATTCACCATTAAATACCGAATATGGACGGGCCGTGCTCCTCCCTCACCTCTGCTCTCCTCCGCCGCCCCGTGCCGCGGCGGGGCGTGAGCAGGGCCGGGGTTTGGAGCTCCCGCTGGGGACATCCAAAGCCGCCCCAGCTGTCCCGCCCTGCTCATCCTCAGTTCAGAGATACAGGGAGAGCCGAGAGCCCCGATTCATGAAAGCACCTGCACATTCCCGGCCACGTCCCACCGCCCTGAGAGCCCGGCTGTTTCCCGGGCCTCGGCTGCTGTGCCGCACTCCCAGCCGGGGCAACACACACCCCAACCCAGCCGTCATCGCTCCATGCCCATCAGTTATGAAAGAGCCGGGAAACAGTACAGCATCCTGGAGAGCCAGAGACAAACAGCCGTGGGAGCAACCAGTAAGGCTTGTGGTGGCTGACACCCTTTAGAAGCGGTAAAACACTTTCCCTGCTATTTAAGTGCTTGGAAAATGGAAAAATAAATTATGCAGGGCAACCCAATAAGATGTGAAGCAGAGCACAATGCTCTGGGAGCTGTAGCCACAAATCTTTCCTGGTTCCAAACCTCATTCAGCTTATCCTGAGGGAGTTTTGCTCCCCTAAGGAGTGACAGGTGCCCCTGAACCACAGCGACACCCTGCTAACCACAGGGTTAGCCGGGACTCAGGAATCCCTTCCCTTTCCCCTCAGAGTGAATCAGACCATCACAACCTCTGGTTACTGCCATCACAACACCCCTCTGCCTGCCGAGGGAGGACACCAGTGCTGCAGAGCTTCACACTAGAAGAACAGGATTTGGGCCATCTCTACAATTACCAAAATACAGACTGGGGTGTTGGACACATATTCCTCACCTGGGATAGGGCTGCAGGACCTCCTCTTTTCATACACTGGGGGCTAAAAACCCCAAGGCTGTTCATGCACAAGTAAAGCCAAGAAAAGAGGACACCACTGCACCCCACAGCCTGGTGAGGACCTCTAATGCTCCACATCAAAGTCAAGTTCTCCTAGCTGCTTCCTTCCTGACATGCTGAGAATTTGGGAAAAACACAGTGCAATGCAATTATAGTGGCCTTTGAGCTGTGGCCTTTTTCTGTATGCACAGAGCGGGGATCTCACTGCGGGTGCAGCTCTTCCCAGGCAAGTTGAAAGGCCATGCCAGGGACTCATGCCTTCTTAATGAAGGGATTTGCAGGTAGGACCCTTCCTCACCCCACCTGCTCTTCCCTTCCCACTGGGAAGGTTGTCTTTGATAGCAGGAGCTAATTGCTGCAAACCTCCCAGTATGAGCTGTTTGGGGACTTGGAAGAAGTATTTGTAAGTAATCTAGTAAGAGGGCTGGGGGTGGGGTGTGGGTATTAAACAGCTCCTTCCTCCCAAGGTCCCATCAGTGAGGTCATTCCACACAATTTCAGGTGTCCTGAACACCTGGACCCTCCTCAGCCACTGCTACTGCTATGGCAGAGCATCCTTGGCATTGGCCTGTTTCTTTTTGAACCCAAATTTTATTGGGTTCTGCTTCTTAACTTCCCCCATGCCACAGCAAGATGATGCTTTAATGGCAGAGATGGGAAATTTGGCCCCTCCTGTAAAATTACTGTGTGGGGAGGGGTGGAAATGGTCCTTTATTTCCAAGTTTAGCTGTTCAGCAGCCCCCAGCCTTTCCCAAGCACCTTCTGTGGGCCAGGTCGTGTGGGATTCATGCTGGGCAGCAGGAATGCAGTCCATCACCTCCCACCACATCCTAAAAGCCCTCCCATCTTGCTCTTTGCCTGCTGTGGGATGCAGCTGGATGTGTTTCTGCTTTTCCAGAACTGCTGAATTTCCCTGCAAAACTCTGCAGGTGAGATGCCTGCAGGGACTCGGGGCTTTCCAGCTAGATGGAATCTGGGGAAAACAGAAACCTCAGTGGTGCTGCAGAGGGAAAGAGAGAGCAAACCCCATCTCCTGGAAGAGGCTGCAGGGCTGCAAGTGAGACAGAGACTGTCCCTGCCTGTGTGCCCAAGCCACACAGCCAGTGTCAGCCCCACAGTGAGGGGACTCACAGGACACATCCTCACTGCAACCAGGCACAACCTGCCCCACCAGCCCTGCCAGGGAAGCACAGCACCCACGGCCCTGTGGCAGCTACAAGCACACAACCTTTGAGCTCAGACATGTGTTTATTTGCTCTCTGGTGGGAGGCGTCACTGGGGCAAAGGCCTCTCACTCCACTGACTTCCAACAGGGGTGTAGGGACACCACTCAAGACTGAGCAGCACCCTGGGGACCACAGGTGCCACCAGGACACCTGGCAGGACCTGGGGCTCTCAGCCGCTCCAGCAGCTGGAAGGGATCACAGATCTTCTCCTGAAGGACAGAGAAAAACCCAGGGCAGGATCAGGCCAGTGGGAAGCAAGAGCCACCTGAGAAAGTGGCACTTAGCACTTCCCTAGCTATCATGGGGGGCAGCCTCTGGGTCACTCCAGCTGCTTTTTCCTGCAGCAAGGAAGAAGCCAAGAGCTTGTCTGGGACTTTGGCTCTGCTTTTATCTGAGAAATGCCTCCTGCTTGGACAGAGTCCTGAGAAAATCTCCCCTTCCTAAGCACAAGGCCGTATTTCAGGGATACACAGCTGCAGGGTGTTATCTCCCTTGTATCTCCTGGCCCATCTACAGGCTGCAAGAACCACCAAGGAGAAGAGATAGGCTTCCAGCAGATAGAATGCTTTGTGCTCTAGGGTCAGGGTTGGCAGCCAGGGCCAACCTGCTCTTCCATCAGCAGCCGGGAGAGCAATGGACAGGAAAAAAGCATGGGGATGGGCCATCATCTCCCTGGGGCAGGCTGTGCACAGCAATCCCCTCAGGGGAAGGATGACTCCCCTTGGGAGACCTATGAGAAGTCCAGCTGTCAGCCTCAGCAGTCCCCATGGACATGTTGGGGTGGTTAGAGCAGATCCCCCTTTGGAGGGCTCCAGCTTGGGTAGGGGTACAGTTTGTCCTGACTCAAGCAGCAGGCACCACTCTCGGTGTCCCATGAGCTCCTGCCCAGCCCAGAAGGAGTCAGGTGTCTTGGTATCATGTGACAGCCCTTCTGACACCCCATAGCAACTCTGATGGCCTGGGACACCCATGTCCCAATTCCTCCATGTCCCAGGCACGGAGCTGCCCTCTACCAACCTTCACTCCCTTGCTACAGCAACCCTGTGGTGCTGCAGCGTTGGCTCCACCAGCTCGGATCAGGAACTTCTCTGCAAACCTGGAGCTCCGCAAGACCGCAGCCATCTCAGCATCCACGTTCACCACCTCTCCTTCCTGGGGACAGAGGAATGGTCACGGGTCTGGGGTCCTGGTATGTGTCCCAGGGGACTCAAGACACCCAGCCAGATGATGGGGAGAGTGAAAGCAGGAGCACATCTTGGCCCAGAATCTGAAGAAACACCCACAAAACCCAAGCATCAGGCTTCAAACCATGCTGGGAAGCCACCATGGATGTCGTACTTCTACTTTTTACCACAAAACAATGCATGCATCTGCCTCCCTTTGCTGGACATTTGCTCTCCCCTGGGTTTACACAGCCCCTGGGCTCCCCCTCCACCAAAGCTTGCCCCCCAGATCACAGAGGATGCTGCTGAGTAGCAGCTTCATCAGCTTTAACTCTTCCCTAGAGCCCCAGCCTGCCTCCCCAAACCTTGAAGGTGAAGTTGGCATCAAACACCAGCTCCCGCTCGTGCCCCACGATGCCGCCATTGTAGGTGACCTGTGCTGGCCCGGTCCGGCTGCCAGCCGGCACCTTGAACAGGCGGTAAGTCGCGGAAACAAAGCGGCAGTCGCCTGCAAGGGAGAGGTTTATGGCTTGGCCACTGAACACCTGGGCTGGGATGCCAGCAGAGCCTCCCAGAGCTGGCACTCCCCGGCTGGATCCTCACCGACAATGCCCTCCAGCTGCTTGTCGCCAATGGTGATGGGGCTGGCGGTGACCAGGCACGGGGGGCTGAACCCCACCTCCTCAGCCATGCTGTACAGGTCTCTCCAGTACAGGGCTCCTGCCAGGCATTCTCCTGGAACGAGACCACAGGCATGGGGCATGCAGGCAAAGGTCCAGTCCCCCCATGCCATGTCACCCCCGTCCCACAGCCCTACGCACCCCACAGCACCCGGTGCTTCCGGATGGTCTCGCTGAGGCGCTGGCTGGCGTAGACGTCACTGAAGTACATCTCTCCCCCGGGCTGGAGGGCAGCAAGGAGTGAAGGGAAGCCTCAAGAAGCAAAGATACAAAAGGGGCAAGGAGAATTGGGAACCCCCTAATCCTACCCTGCTTGGGACCCTCCGCAGAGACGCCCTCCCCTGACCCCATCCTGCATCCATGCCTTGCTAGATCCCATTTGCTACTTCTCAGTGGCACTCCAACAACAGAGCCACCCCAAGCCTGCTTTGCTGCCACAGGAATGAGCCCACCATCACCTTCAGCACACGAAAGGCCTCCTGCAGCACAGCCCTCTTGTCAGGGGCAAGGTTGATCACACAGTTGGAGCTGTGGGGGAGGAGACCAAGGCTTATTTGCACGCTCTAGCACATCTGGCTTGGGATTTCCCTTTTTCTAACACGTGCTTCTGAAGCAGTGACCCATTGGGATGCAGACCCAGCCCACAGCCCCGGGAAGCAGCAGGACTGGGGGTGACTGTGCCCTGCATGGCACCTACATGACAATATCGTAGCTCTTGTCAGCCAGTCCGGCATCACCCAGCTTCTCCATGTAACCATGGAAGAACTCCACATTCGGCTTTCGGTAGCCAAACTTATCCATGTGGTAGGCAATGTGCTTCTTGGCCACCTCAACCTGGCAGGAGGAAGGGAATGATGTGGGGGGGCTGCTGGAAGGGTGAGAGGGAGCCCCAGGTCCGTGCCGTACTTGGCCCTCGGTCATATCTATGCCGGTGACGTGGCCCTGCTCCCCGACCAGCTGGCTCAGCAGGTAGCAGTCCCTGCCGCTGCCACTGCCCAGGTCCAGAATCCAGCACGATGTCAGGCACTCAGGGATCACCAGACCGCAGCCGTAGTACCTGGGTGGATGCTGAGCTGAGCTGGGTGCAGGTGCCCCATGGCACAGCCGAGAAGGGGCTGCAGCCCATGGGGATGCGGCAGTGGAGGAGAGAGCCTGGGGGTTACCTGGCCACCACCTCCTCATGGATGCGCTCCAGAGCATCTCTCACCAGCTTGGAAACGGGCCTGGCTGAGGTGATGCACGCATTGGTTTTGAGGTCCTCTGACTTCTGCAGCTCTTTGCCATAGTAGTCCTGAGATGGGAAGGACAGAGGCCACTAAACTGTGCCAAGTTGAGCCCTGGGAGCTCCCTATGCTTTAAAATATGGGTGTCATGCCTGCACTCAGCCTGTACATGTGTACATGTCCTCTGGCACTGGCATTTTCATTTCCACCTAGCCAAAAACTACGGTAAGATCAGGCATCCCTTTGCCCCCATCCTCCTCAGCTCCGTTTGCTCACACGTACTGATGTGTTTGTGCAGGAGGGAATTTAATTCCCATTTCCAGTAAATTTGCAGACTGCAGGCACCATTTCCCTGGCTGAGAAGGGTAGAGGGAACAAGGGCAGGGAAATGCCAGGTTGCTTCACCCCCCATTCCTGTGTGAAACAGGATCAAAGCTGCCAAGTGCACCTGGCATTTTTGTCTGGGCCTGGAAACAACCTTTACCCTCTAATAGCAGTAGGAACTCTAGCACAGCCCAGGCATGCGTCCCCTGCCCAGCTGCCCCATCCCTCCCCAGCTCCCTTCCACACTCCTCACCTGCACCTCCTGGTGGATCTGCTGTCCGATGGGAGTTGCCACTGAAACGGGAATGTGGGGCTGGTGGCTGACACCACAGAGATGGGCACCACTCCAGGTCCTCCCAACAGTTCTGAATCCCCCTCTTCCGCCAGATACAGCAGCACTTTTTGCTCTCTCCCAGCAGAACCCTGAGAATCCCCCCAAACTTGCAGTCTAATAGGATGCCCCAGGAGGCACCTGACAACATCCCTCCGCCCCAAAAATCCAGTCCAGCTACCCCAGAGAGATGGGCCCCCAAAGCATCCCAGCAGGGTAAATCCCCCTACCCTACTTTAGAGAGCCCTTGGCCCCAGGGCAGCCCCAGCACCCCCGGTAGAGGCCCTGGGCTGTCTTACTGCCTCCAGTCGCAGGGCCCCAGTTAGACTCTGCCCAGCTCCTCCCCAGTATCCTGTGCTATCCCAGCAGCCCACACGGCCTGGAGCTTGGCTTCCATCCCAACAGCGGCTCCCGCCTGCCCAGGCCCCTGGCACACGGCCCAGCGGGACACGGGCACAGGCACAGCGAGGCTGCTGGCTCTGTGGGACACAGACATGGGCACGGCGAGGCTGCTGGCTCTGTGGGACACGGGCACAGGCACGGCGAGGCTGCTGGCTCTGTGGGACACAGACATGGGCACGGCGAGGCTGCTGGCTCTGTGGGACACAGACATGGGCACGGCGAGGCCGCTGGCTCTGTGGGACACGGGCACAGGCACGGCGAGGCTGCTGGCTCTGTGGGACACGGGCACAGCGAGGCCGTTGGCTCTGTGGGACACGGGCACAGGCACGGCGAGGCTGCTGGCTCTGTGGGACACAGGCACGGGCATGGTGAGGCTGCTGGCTCTGTGGGACACGGGCACAGCGAGGCTGCTGGCTCTGTGGGACATGGGCACACAGCAAGGCCGCTGGCCCTGCTCCTGTGCTGAGCACACTGCCATCATTCACGGTTCTTGCTGCACCCACACCCCCAAAACACACCTTGCTGCTTGTTCCCCAACAGCTCTGCATCTCCACAGTGCAGCCCTGTCCCTGCTTGTCCCAAAGGCAGGGAGACAAAAATTTAACGCCACGGGACTGCTGCAGGCTCTGCAGAGGACAGGACTTTGGAAGAGACAAGCCACCTGCAGCAAGGTCACACTGCCTCTGCAAAGCCCTCTGAGCTGAAGCAGAATGGGGGATCCTGGGGGGGCAGAGACCCACCATCCATCCCAAACAGCCTCCCCAGTGCACAGGGACCACTAGAAAGAGAACCCAGGACAGACTGCTGCAGTTGGTAGTGTTCAGGACAGCTTTTATTCCCAGCAAGAGAGCCACAGGGAAAACTCTCATTCCCAAAGTGCACCTGCAAAGCTGGGGTCAGAATGTCACCCAAGGCAAAAATACTGGCAGGGATGGTGAAATCTAGTCTGAGAAGGCTCTGCAGCACAGGAGCCAGACTCCAGCAGCATTCCAAAAGGAATGTGGCAGGCCCGTGTCAGCTCTCAGCCTGCCTGCTCCTATCAGCTGGTGAAAAGCACACTCAGAGAAACAAGTGCTTCCCGTGCACTCCAAGTGCTCCAGATAAGTGACTTACTAAAAACAAGACACAGTATTTATAGCTGGTCCTGGATGTGAACAGCTCACTAGTCCTCAACAGAGCAGTGCAGAACTGAGCACACCAGCTCCTGATGCTCTCTTGCCTGCTTCCCAAGAAGGCCTTTGGATACCTTCCCAACCAGATACAAGCACACACCACAGCCAAGGCTGCTTCATCAAAAGCTGGAGCAGCACCCCAGGAGAAGGAATGCACTTGAAGGCCGAATGCAGCACATATGGGTTGGCAAAGGGATGATGTTCCAAACTCTGGCAGAGAGGAAAATAAGATAACCTCTGAGGAGGATGATGGTCAAACCACATCCAGCTAGGCCACTGGCAGATGTGTATGCTTAGGTTCCTGGTTTCAGAAATTCTGTGCTGGGACTGGCACCTCAGCCTACACTGAAGTACCCCTCACCCACCCAGGCACTTGCAGCTCACACTGATTAAAATGCTCTAAATAAACTGCACTCTGTGCCACCTCTGTGGCTAAATACAGACCAGTGGCAAACTGCAGGCACCTGCATTTAAATGCCATGCCTCAACTCTGCATTTCTTGCCAAGGGTGCTGGGGTGGGGAGAGCACTTCACGCTACATGGGAAGTAAGCAGACACAGGGATTATTGGGAAGAGCAAAGTTTCAGGGAAGTTTGCTTCAGCCAGGTGCAGGTGTGCAGGTGAGCATTCTGGAGCAGAGGTGTGGATGCAGGCACACGAGAGGGGGCCATGTGCCCAGAAGCACAGACTCTGCACCTATCCCAGCTGACATCCAGCTTCATCCAAACACAGTTCTGAGCCCCAGGGGCTGGAGGGGGGAGAACACTTCACTCCCTCAGTGCTGGTTGAGATTTCCTCAAGCCTTTAGCTCCCCTTCATTTCAGCAAGTGACTCAGCTGGTCCTGAAGGTTTGACGAGCACTCCACGCTGGGCACCAAGCAAAAGGAGATTCATGGTGAGATCTGCTCCCAGACTGTGCTGTGCTGCCTGTGCCCAAGGCAGCAGAGCAGCTCTAGAGCTGACACTACAGCAAAGAGAAACCCTGGGGTCCCCTGACCCCCCTCTGTGTCCCCACAAAGGAAACCTCACTTCATGCACCCTGTTGTACACAGCTCTGCTCCCACCACCCTCATCTCCTCTCACAAGCAACCTCACATGCTCTATCACATCAGTGGGCAGGAAGGAATCAAAGGAAGCTTGGGTATGAATCCCATCTCTTCACTCAAATTTCCATCTCTTCACAATACTGAAGTGCTATCCTGCTGGGCCAGCATCTGCCTCAAAGGCAGATGCAAAAACCTTTCCATCCTGCTTTCCCCCATCCAACTCCATCAACTTTCCCTTTCTATCCTCACAGCATGTCCCCCAGGTCCTCCCAGAACTCACTTCTTTTGAATTGCTTCTTGCCTGGAGGAGAAAAGGAAAGAAAAAAAGAGCATTAGAAAAACAAAATCTCAGTCATGATTTATGTTATGTCAAACAAGGGCTCAAGAGGCCAAAACTCCAGGGTGTTTCTGGATTAAGTTCTGGGGGACAGAAGCAGCGCTGGCTTCTCCTTCTTAGTCTCAGGTGCATCATACACACTCATGGGAGATACAGTGCATGGCAAACAGGAGACAAAAATTTCAGCTCCCACCCCAAAACAGCCTGAAGAGGGCTGGAAAATTCCAGCTCCAAGGCCTGCTCAGCTTTGAAGAACTGCAAAAGAGGGATCAGTCTGAGCTGGCAGCTTCATGCAAAGTCTTTAAGGAGAACAGAGAAGGACTGAGGGATCCACTCAGCCCCCAAGAGAGAACATCTACTTACTGGTGTCCCCTACTTACTGGTACTGTAGATGAGTAGTTATTATAGCCATTTTTCTTAAACTCTGTGGAGAACAAAACAAAGAATGAATGCCTACAGAGATCACAGTGCAGCTGTCCTAATGCCCTGGGGGTTCCTCCAGCACAGCCACCACTGTATTGCTGTACTGCCTCCAAAACACCCTCGCTGGTATCTGTCAGCAGTGGCACACTTCCTTTTCCTTTCCCAGGGACAGGCAGAGACACAAGTGCTTTATTTCAGCCCACAGTGCCTCAAGCTTTCTGTCAGAGAGGGCACAGCTTGAGGGCCTGCAGGACACCAGGAGTCCAGCAGTACTGGGTCTGAGGAAGCACTAAGTTATTCTGGCCACCAGCCCTGCTGCCTGAAGTCATGTATCTGACCCCAGGGCTCCGGGAGCAGTTGTAGCACGGCTGCAAACCATTCCTACCACCCTCCTCTCCTCCCGTCCCCAGAAACGCTGCTGCTCCAGCACAAGAACACAGCTTACATCTTCCGAGTGCAAGATGGCATCTTCTTGCATCACCATGTTTCTGGCAGCTTGACCCAGCAGCTACAAGGCAAACGTACAGAGCAGGCTGAGACGCTGCAGCTTTGCGTTTCCCGAGGCCCCCGTGACGGCTGGCAGGGTGACACTCGGGGTGACACCGCGGTGCCGTGACAGCACATCCGTCGGGAGCGCCTGAGGCACCGCTCCCACCAGTCCCTGGGACAGCTGGCGGTCACCCTCCCGCCTGCCACCGCCGGAGTCCCGAGGCGCTGCCCAGCCGTGCCCGCGTTCCGCTCCCGCTGTCCCCGTCCCTGCCCAGACACAGGGATGTGTCCCCTCCTCGGACTACAGCTCCCAGCGTGCATTGCGCCGCCCTCCCAGCTCCGCTCCGGCCCTGTAATCGGCCGCCCGCCGGCACCCGCCGCTCACCTCGGCGCTACGAGAGCCCTTCAGCACCTGCTTAGTGAGAGCGATCACGTCGGTGCCGCAGCTCGTCACCTTCTCGGTCAGGAGCCCCTTCACCGAGTGGCCAAAGCGCGCCTGGGCATCCGCCGCGCCCCCCGCCGCCATCTTACCCCGCCCGCACCCGCCCCGCCTTTCCCCGGGAGTCGCTACGGCGAGCGCCGGGGCCCTGAAGGCTCGGGAAGGCGCAGAGTCCGCGGTGGTCGGGATGCTGCAGGGAGGGGCTTCAATTCCCAAAGGACTCCCCCAGCACACCTCATCGCCTCGGCACGGACACCCACAGGCTGCCCAGCACTCCAGCACTGACAAGCACAGGCCAGCCCTGATCAGCCTTTCTCAGCCCTGGCCGGTACTTGCCTGTACTGACCAAGGTTCACCAATGGTACCAGGGGCTGACCGGAGCTCACCAGCATTGCCAAGCGCTGCCCAGCAGTGTCCAGTGCTACCTGCGTCTCCCCAGCACTGACAAGAACTGATGATGAGGGATGCTCCGCGCTTAATATTGCTCAATATTTCCAGTGCTGCCCATTCCCTCCCGGATCTGTCGAGGCGCTCCCTGGCTGGGGATGGATTCCAGTGCCCCGCCAGACCCCCCAGCTGTGCTCACAGCACCCACGACAGACCTCGAGCTGTCCCCACACCCCCGGCCCACCACAGGGCCCTGGGGATGGAACCCCAAGGACGGATCCGACCCTGGGCATCCCCTGGCCCCCAGTGCTGGAAGCAGCTCCCCCAGGGCGGCCGTGGCCCCGCTGCCCTCGCCCCCCGCCATGCGCCCACAGCTGCAGAGCTGGCCACGGGCCCAGCGCTCGGCTCCCCCCTCCTCGTCCCCCCGATAAGAAGCCGAGCCCGCCTCAGAGTCAAGGAGACGACCCCGCCGCCGCTATAAGGGCCCCCCGCGCGCCGCAGCCCCGCAGCCGGCCCCGCCATGGCGCTGCTGGGCGCCCTGCTGCTGGCCCTGGCCCTGCTCTGCACCTGGCGGCTGGCGCGACGGAGAGACACCCTACCGATGGCCACGGCCACGGGGCTTGGGCGCCCACGGAGCCTGCCGGCCCTGCCGC